CCTGACTGAACTGCTAGAAAAAGCCAGGCCGAGTTTCAAACTGCTAAAACGCAGTTTCAAATGCAATTGAAACTCGGGCCCTGACTAAACTCCTAAAACGCAGTTTCAAATGCAATTACAAACTGTAACCCTGACTGGGCCGTAGTTTTCTCAAAAAAAAAAAAGAACAACTTGAAATAATCATCGTTTGATGTTACAGTATTGCAATTGGAGAAACGAGAAAAAGAAGAAGAACGAGAAGAAGTCGACTGACTGTGGTGAGATGTCGTTGATGTCACCATGTTCTTTTCATCTTTTTCTCTTTTCTTGCCCAGGTAGTGGAAATGCTATCATTCCAGGTAGGCAGGCAGCAGCCGCAGCACGGAGGCTAACGGATTCTCACAGGTTAACATTCTCACAGGTTAACAAGAATTCTCTGGAGGCTTACGGGGAGCTAACAGAAGCTAATGGACCTAACGGAGGCTAACGGAAGCTGACAACAGCCTTTACTCATTCTAGGAGGCAGGCAGCAGGTCCTGGAGTGCATGCGGAGGCTTAAAGGAGTCAAACTTGTCTCTCAAGGGTCACCAGGGATTCTCACAGAGGCTAAAGGAAGCTAACGGAAACCAAAGGGAAAGCTAACGGAAACCAAAGGAAGCTGAGGACAGCTAAAGGAACTGCTGACGAGAGCTGACGGAGGCTAGGGGAAGAGAGAGAACTCAAGAGTCAAGATATAGTCATATATAATATATATCGATCAATATTGATCAACAACCACTCGATTCCATGGGGTGCTTAGATGGGGTTGTCCCCCGGTGGACGGCTGCCACCCTTCTGGTTACCATGATAATGATATTCCTTCTGCACGCCGCATTGCACACGTCGACGGCTGCTCAGCTCGTCAATCGTAACAAGCCTCATGCAATGCCATTCTCTGGCGGCCACCTGCCGCTCACTCGTGGCAGGGCTCTGCAGCCTGCATGCACGTCCAGCCATGACTNTCGTAACAAGCCTCATGCAATGCCATTCTCTGGCGGCCACCTGCCGCTCACTCGTGGCAGGGCTCTGCAGCCTGCATGCACGTCCAGCCATGACTTCCATGGGACATGCACGTGCAACACGAGCCTATGCGTTCGTTTGCGTTGTTGGCTTCACTGCAGGTGGAGAGTATGTTGTCGTAAATGCCAAATGGTGGATTGCCAGTAGAGCCTTGTCAATGAGGTAAAAACCGTAAAATCACAGATCTGCCGTCCTGGTCAGATGTAGGCTGAAGAGGTGACCCCCATTAGTAATTTAGCAAAGGTGGTTAATCTCCTGTACCTCAGGGTCATCAATGCTGCTCACAGACAGGAGTCTCTGGAATCTCAGTCTTTCATGTACTCAACAGGCCCACAAATACAATCAGATCTGTGATGGGACTCTTGACCCTTTTTCCAGCAGGTGCTGCTTCCCACCAATAGATGGACCCTTTAAACAAACAAGGTAAAATTTTCTAAATGCCCCCAAAGTTCGCGTTTATTTGCGGCGTGCCCCTGTAAAGGCCAGTTTACCCTGTGGTGCCCCTCGGGCCTCTGAAATTTTCCACAGGCCCCTGTCAGCATGGGGCGTAACTTTCCGATATGCCCTTACTGGACCGCTGGTGGCGTTTCGTCAGTGGGTCCTTGAAATGCCCTCACGAGGGGCACACATCTTTCTGTGATGCCCTTGCAGCAGTGGTGGCAGGAATTCGAATTCAAAGTGGTAGGCATTCCACGCGCCGCCACGGATAAACGGTCTGTATATGTGTGTTGTGTGTGTGTGTGTGTGCGCGCGCGTGTGTGTGTATATGTGTGTTGTGTGTGCACGCGCGCACGTGTGTGTGTCTGTGTGTGTGTGTGTGTGTGTGTGTGTGTGTGTGTGTGTGCAAGTGTGTGTGTGTGTGTGGGTGCGTGTGGGTGCGTGTGTGTGTATATATGTGTGTGTGTGTGTGTGTGTGTGTGTGTGTGTGTGTGTGTGTCCATGCTCATCGCCAAATTTCTGATATGCCCCAGTAGCATCTCTCCCGGGGCCAGGGGAAAGACTGCGAGTGTCAACAACGGCCACAGGGGCTCGCTGGAAAGATGGACAGTACCAATAAGGGCATATGGGAAACTTTTGTGCTTGTTCTCAACGGCCATCCGGTAGGGGCATACTGAAAATTTGGTACTGGTACCGGTAGGGGCATATGAAACATTTTTCAGGCCCAAAAGACTCCAGGGGTTTTCTGGAAACATCATTCGTCGTCAGAGGGGCGCGACAAGGCAAGTCGGCCGTCAGAGGGGCACGCCGCAAATAAATGCAAACTTCAGGGGCATTTCGAAAATTTTCCCAAAAAACAAACAAACAAACAAACAGAAGAAAAAAGAAAAGGAACAAACCTTGCGTCCCTTCCCTCGCCACCATCCTGCTGTCAGTGAGGGCAAATGAGTAACAATGAAAATAGTACTCTGCCTGCCCAAAAAAAAAAAAAAAAAAAAAAAAAAAAACTCTGCCTGCCCAAGGTTTTAAGTTTTAACCCCCCCTCTGTGCCCCCTAGGGTGTGATATCAGATATCAGCAACATGAAGAGGTCACAAACTATTGAGGACCACTGAAGGCCTGGAACCAGGCGAACAAGCATCCGGGGGCCAAGTCCCACTCACACTGATCCTTGATTTCTGGTCGTTGATGTTCGAAATCTGCGGTCGGAAATCAATCATTCGGGTAAGTGGGACTTGGCCCCCCGTGTGAGCAGCAGCAGGGTCAAGAGGCTCAGAATATTTCAGTAAGATAGGCAATGGTCGGACATTCAGACACAGTTTTATTCTAAGACTTTTGTCGTTCAATGCATCCAGACATTGTGAAGCTCATGTATCATGGGACGGTGGACCCCGTTTCCAGCAGGTGCTGCTCCCCCCACCAAATAGATCGGACTCGAGCATATGCTTGTCAAAAAAAAAAAAAGAAAAAAAAAAAAGCTTAAAAATAGGATAAAGTTCCTCATTCACAGTTATGATACCAGTACTTCCTAGAGTCGGGCCCGTTAACGCGCCACGATTTTAGGAAATGTACGGGCAACTACAGGAGTGCCCAAATTCATCCGACTAGAAACGTTTGTACTCTATTTTTTTGGGCGGCCCATAGGTGGGCCAAGTACTGGTGGTATCTTCGAGCCAAACAGTCGCCATTGCCCCATGGCCCACCCACGGTACCATGATCATCAAGGAGAAGAGGTCCACACAGCTCCCCAGTCCTTGTAGCAGGGGAGGGAGTAAGGTGAAAGTGGCGGGACAGGTAACGCAGAACGAGGAAGAGTGGGTGGCATGGATATGTGGGAAGACTGGAGGTTTATTGGGTTGGCGGTTGATGAAGAGGCACGCGCTGTACTGTGCTTTAAACTGTTTACATGTGCTTTCTTTTTTTTTTTTTTTTTTTCTCGCCCTGGTGTTGCCATTGTTGTTTCTTCTTTGAAGCATCAACGAGTGATTACTTTCAATTTACGTGTGTGCTGGTCACCAACGACGTTTGCTTGCTTGCTTACCCTCAGGCGCCTAAGCATCATCTATAAATTTTCAATGTCGATCTACCTTTGGTGCTGTCCCAAATGAGAATCATCAGGCTGCAAAAAAAAACAAAGAAAAAGCAGAAAAGATTCAAAAGATTCGACTAGGTTGTTTCTCCGGGCGCCTGGGCACCATAGTTGTGCCCGGATACACGCCCGGGTGGCCGGGAAGGCATGACGGGCAGCCCAGAGTAAAAAAAAAATAAATAAAAAAAATCCAGGAAAAAAACATGTTGTGTAGAATTGCAATACAAACAACTTTTGGCTGATGGGCACATCAGAATTCCTCACCAAATCGGAGATAAGAAAAAGAAAACAACAAAGTTGCACTAAGGCTAATTCTTTAAGCCCAACCAATTCAATTACCTGTCGAATCTGGACAGGACGGCCTAGTGCAGCTTCCCACCAATCAGGATTGATCTTCTTTCTCTCTTTTTTTTTTCTTTTTTTTTTCCTTTTAAGGATGGATCCATTCCCTCAGCAAGATTTCAATCCCATGTGTGTGTGTGTGTGTGTGTGTGTGTGTGTGTGTGTGTGTGTGTGTGTGTGTGTGATTGCGTAAGGGTGGAGGGGGTGACCCATCCCCCACCAATAAATCAATCAATCAATCAATCAATCCAAAAAAAAAAAAGTAAAAAAAAAAACGGGCAAGTATATGTGTGTGTGTGCGTGTAGCTGTGTGTATGTGTGTTGTGTATGATTGGGTGGGGGTGGGGGGGGCCACCCATCCCCCACCAATCATCAATCAATCAAGCAATCAAAAAAAAAAAAAAAAAATCGATATGTTTTGAGTCTGGTTAGGTTTTTGATTTTTTTTAAATAACTTAAATGCACAAAAAATCAAAATAAAAATATGGGGATGTAGAGCGCAACAACATCTACACCCCCATTTTTAATTGTTTTTTTTCTCATTTTTTGCCTGCGAAAAAAAAATTCCCGGGCGGCGTTGTACCGCTGAACCTTTCAACAGGAAACCCCTTTGAATCGAAAATCAGACACACAGCACATACAAATATATATTATATATATTTTCTGTTTGTGACGATATATATATATATATATCATGTTCTACTGGTATTTCCATTCAATTTTGCTTTTTTTTTTTTTTTTTTTTTTTTGACAACTAACTTTTTTCTTATTTAAAAAATAAATAAATGAAGGGGCCCCTCGAAACCCCTCGTACCATCCCTGGGGGTCAAACTTCCCCCCCTCACCCCCCCACCAGGCCCAGGCACGTTCGGATGGGAACCATCCGTACGCCCGTCTGTCCGTCCGGTCCGGACGACCCATACGCAGACCCCCCCTACGACATAAGGGGGACAACACTAAATAGTTCTGTGTCAATCTCTTTGCCTTGTTCCTTGATCTTATGTAAAAAACTTTGCAAACACCCCTGCCACCTTTTTTGCAAGTTTAACATCCGGTCGGTGTTAGCAGATCTGTGAGGAATGAGCCCTTAAGAAGGGGCCTTGCCATGATGTACATGTTCTGGGCTAAGGCCCCAGCAAGCCTCGTGCCCGCCCTAAGTGAAGGCGGGCCAGCAAATCAACAATAGCCCTCTGTGCATACATTTCACGAAGTGGGGTCCTTACAGTTGCAGCAGGCCAGTTGGTTGGAGTGCCCCGAGTTTCGGATTTCAGCAAATGCTGAAATGCCCAGGGCCTGAGTTGGTTAGACCCTGGGCTCCTAAAAGTGAGGCCGACAATGCACGCTGGGTAAAGAAGCCGAAAATGCAAAGGGGAAAACCGGCCCACAGTCTGAATCTGGCCACAGGCCTTGACGAGAGAAGCACAACTGCATCTCCCGGGCCTCAACTGTAATGGGCCTGGGATTCAGCCACTCGGGCCTGGACGCAGGCTGAAGGGAGGCCGCCCACACGCTGCACTGGCATATAGGCAAGCAGGGCGAGTGGGCAGGGATCTTGGCCAATGCAGGCATTGCCGGAACGCTGCGCAAATGCGAGGTGCAAGGCGGTGTAAATCTGCGCTGGGCAAGGGCAGCAGGCAGCGCTAATGCGGAGGTGCACTGCCTGGGTGCTGGGCGCTGGCAGCCATAGCCTGGCTGTGTGAGGGCGCAGGGGAGGTGAGGGCGAAGGTGGTTCTTCGGAGGTGAAGGGCGCTGTGTGGGTAAYAAGGGAGAGTGTGGGGAAGAGGACACGTACCTGGTGAAGAGGGGAGGTCGGCATTGGTGTTGACATCATCACTCGCTGGTAGTCAAGTTGTCTGGTTGCTTTTCATTGCTGTAGTTGTAGCTGTAGCTGTAGAGTAGATAGGGTGCCTGGCGCCACTCATGAGAGAGAGCTACATTGGGTTATGCTGTTGGTGTTGCCCTGTAGGGCATGGACATTGACTCACGATTCTT